GAGGAGAGGGCGGTTCCTTGCCAATCCGGTGGAAGATCCAGAACAGAAGATGTGCCTCCCTAGAGCAGTGTTTCAGAAAAGTTCAGCCACAGGCGGGAGGCCAAGCTCTTGGCCTCATCTGTTCTGGTGAGTGGGACCGGGCCAAGACTCACGGGCGCCCCCATGTGGTCAGTCACTACACGTTCCTGAAAGCCCTCCGTGCAGCACAGGGCACTAGCGCTACGGAGAACACAAGGAACATGGAGGGCTGATCGTTGGCCTCTAAGAGGTAGGGCGGCCATGGGGTGGGGAGGCCACACTCACACCCAACGCCCCGGGCATCTCTGCAAAGTAACGCAGAACAAGCCCAAATGTACCGCTGGCTCGGCTGCCACACGGGGAAGTGGCAGGACTTACAGGAGGAGGCACGGTCTGCTGGTGAGTTTGGTGGACTGTGGCTTGTGTCAAGGGCCCAAGCCGGATGGAGCGCTTGGAGGGGACCAGCCTTGCAGGAGGGGAGTTTATAAATCCCGGGGACAGATGATGTTGGAGCGATGGTGAGACATAGGAGGTCCCTGAGGCACAGCAGGTAGAGAAAGGCCAGAGCAGGGCCCCAGGGGGCTTCCTGAGGAGGCTCCCGAGTCACAGGCCACCAACCAGAAGAGACTGGCGATGCCGGTGTGATTGAGGGCAGGAGCCCAGAGGCTTGTCTGGGGGGATCCCAAAACGAGGATCAATGGGGAAACTGAGGGGAAAGGGACCACAGGTCAAAATAAGGATAACCACAGCATGCCTCGGGACGTAGTGGGCTCCTATCACCAAATGGTCTAGTGAAGTCCAGACTCTAAGAAGTCATACTTCCTGAGTGCTTACATCATGTTGGGGACTATTCAGGGCATTCCTTCATTTTCACAACAAGCTTAGAAGGCGGGTGCTATTATTATCCCCACCTTACAGATGAGGAAGCTGAGGCTCAGAGGGGTTAAATTTCTTAGTATCATGGAGCACTAGCTGGGGTTTCCCCTCAAGCAGCATCACTCCAGAGCCTGTTGTGTAAGCCTTAGCTACTCCAGGTGTGGTCCCGGACCAGCAGCATTGGCTTCATCTGGCTGGTTAGAAATACAGACTCCCAGGCCTCACCCTCCACCTACTAATCAGGATCTGCCTTTCAGCAAAGTCTCAGGGATTCATGTGCACACATCTGGGAAGCATTTGCTCTGGACCACTGGGCTATCCTGCAAGCAGGGATGCCCCCAAACCACTGGACACATGGTGTGAATTAGTAAGACGCTGCCCCCTCCAGGCAGAAGCAGCCCCCAAGGATCTCTTGGCCTGATGGAGAAACCTGGCTGGCTCTCAGGCCCACCCACGCCTCTGCTAGGAGCCCTCCTGTAGGCTACAACTTGCAGATCCATACCCAGAAGTCTTGCCTTTGGATTTTTTTTTTTTCTAAATAGAACATTTACTAGGGCTTTGAAGATGGATGTTGCTATAGAAACTGGCCAGAGCTGCTGAGATCACAACTTGCTCTAACTCGAGCACATGTGGGCCTCCAGGCCCAAACCTGATAAGCAGAAATGAATCAGTTTCTGTTGGCCCAGGCCCTGTTATGAAAGCTGGTCCCTCCAGGCTTGAGGCCTGGGCAGCAGGATTCTTGGATTCAGTCCCACCTGCGAATCTCCAGGACTCAGAGCAGGAGGTATTTCCCATCCCTGGGCCTCAGTTTCCCCTCTCTGAAAAGCCCTCCCAGCTCTCAAGGAGCAGCAAGAGAATGAGAGGACGTTTCAAAGAGGGAAGCGGACCCAGGTGGAGACTATTTCCCCACTCCTCTTACTGCCACCTGGGTGGGGGACGACTCCCTGCTGGTGGCTGCTGACGGGCACTGCCACCCTGCCAGCCTCTTCACTGAACGTGCCCAAGCCGTTGCAGCTGCCCAGAGGCGCCAGGGACAGGGCTCGATGGGGAAAATGCCAGAGAGGATGCCAGAAGAAGGGAAAGGCAGAAAGGTATCACGTGGTACCCAGACCCCCGAGAGCCAGGCCCTGCCAGGGCCCCCAATCTGCCAGTGTCACGGGGTCCCAGTGGCCAGGCATGCAGGCTCGGGGCCCAGGGAGCTCCCGCCGAGCCCGCCACCTCACCTCCCATTGCTCTCCCCCCAGATTTCCAGCCCAAGGTGCAGAGCCGCCTGGTGGGGGGCAGCGGCACGTGTGAAGGCTCCGTGGAGGTGCGCCAGGGCAAGCAGTGGGACGCCCTGTGCGACAGCTCCTCAGCCAAGGGCATGGCGAGGTGGGAGGACGTGTGCCGGGAGCAGCAGTGCGGCAACGTCAGCTCCTACCAGCTGCTGGACACCGGCGAGAAGACCTCCGGGGGGTTCTTCTGTCCCCCGGGGAAGCTGTCCCAGTGCCACCAGCTTCTGCAGAAAAAATCCCACTGCAAGAGAGTGTTTGTCACCTGTGAGTTGGGCCCAGCCCACGGTGGGTAGAGGGCAGTTCTGGATTTTCCTTCTAAGACTCAGTCGATGAGCACATTTCTGAAGAACAGGCCCCAGGAACTAAAGAGAGAGCCCTGGGAAAGGATGGAGGGATGACAAATGAGGGGAGAGGGGACAAGTGTGCTCAGACAGCAGTGAGCACGAACCGTCAGTAGGAGACTGGCCGCCATCGTCAGGCAGCTAATGAATGAGAACTCTCCTTCCACCTTCTGCTCTTCCAGATGGAAAGTAGATAAGCAAGGGGGGGGGGTACATATTTGCTACACTAATGGTAATTGACTCACACAGAAAAGAGAGCGATGAATGGATGGATGGCTATTTGCATATGATGGCAAGGTGATCACTCATTAGTAACTGGAAAATGGTGGAAACTTACAGAGTTGATCACAGGAGGGGCAAATGATAGCCGGATGATCAACTGTTAGATAGTAAGTGGTGGATAAATGAACGGGTAGCAGAGAATTTCAGAGATGGGTGGAGAGACAGCAGATAGAAAACTACCTTCCGCACATGCTGGTGAGTTACTGGGGGAAGCCCTCTGAACGGACAGTTTTGATGCCTCCCAGGCTGGGGCTGACCTAACTCTGCCTCCTGCAGGCCAGAACGCACGCCCAGCGGGCCTGGGTGCAGGCACAGTGGCAAGCATCATCCTGGCCCTCGTGCTTGCGGTAATGCTGCTGGTGGTGTGTGGCCCCCTCGCCTACAAGAAGCTGGTGAAGAAATGTAGGTGTAGGTGCCCCAAACCTCCTCCCTTTCAAGACCCTGTGTGGGGAGACTGGATGGGTTGCCCACGAGCCCCACAGAGGAGGGTTCCCGCCTTGAGAAAGCCGGCCGGGAGCACCCCTCCTTCACCACCCAGCCCTGCCCCTCTCCTGCCCACCGGCCTTTCTCCGCACCAAGTAACAAACAGAAAGTCAGGAAAATCACCGATTCGCCCACATCCGGGGGCCCAGCTGGGACCCACTGCAGCCCAAAGGGAGGGTATGGGCATTCTTTAGACTGTGGTGGGTTCAGAGGGTCTGACCCCAGAAGACACGTGTCCCAGGCCGGCTCCACCACTTAGCAGCTAATCAAACCAATTCCTCCCTGAGCTCTGGTTTCCTCATACAACAAATGGGCGACCCCAGACCTTGTGAAGGTAGCGGGTATCATCCTGGCCTTGCAGAACTCAGGAGGAAATCATTCGGAGACAAGGGTGTGAGATTAGAGAGGCTGCCCACTGCCGGAGGTGGGCAGTGATGGCTGGGTCCCTGGTGCCCTCCCAGGTCTTAATTCTGGTTCTAAGCACCCCATGGTGGTTTCTCCTGGAGAACCGGCCCCTCAGCATGCACCTGCTGCCTCCTCCCTCCTTCCCTGGCTCCCGCCCCCCTTGCCCACACCTGTCTCAACCCCCCTCCCCCTCCCCCTCCCCATGTGCCTTTCCTGTCTGTCACCCAGTCCGCCAGAAGAAGCAGAGACAGTGGATTGGCCCGACGGGAATGAACCAGAACAGTAAGTAGCCCCAGAGGCAGGATCCTCCCTCGGCCCAGGTCAGTAGCCACGAGACTCAGGAAGGAGGCTGTGAAGCAGGGTCACGGGTCACTGCCGACCATGGACAGAGCCAGTGGCTGCATGAGGCCTCTGAGCTCCACTGTGCTCGTCTAAGGTGTGACTGTGGCCACAGGTGTTAACGGATGGGACTCAGAGAAGAGGGCCCCGTGATCAAAGAGACTCGGAAGTCAGTGAGTTAAGCAAAGCTAGACACGGTTCTTTACTTCAGGACTTGTCAGAACCTTCATGGGCATTTTTGCGTGGTTCATCTCCAAAGCGGACATATGTTAAGAAGGGTTGTCCAAGCTAGATTTATCATGGAACGTCTTTATCGTGGAACAACTTTACAAGGCCAGTTTTAAGACATTTGGATGCAGCTGGCCCTGTCCCCACCCCTGGTCTCCATCCTCTCTCCTTCTGGCCACAGCCAGAGCCCCCTTTGTGGGTTGAACTACAGCCCTCCTCCTGCCTCTACTCCACCTTCTCCCCCACTATATGTGTCAAGGGCCGATTCCTTCAAGAAGGCGCTGTGTTGTCAAGTTTTTCTTACAATATAAAGACCCTCCGTTCCAGGAGGGCAGCCACCATATCTGCCCTATCACTCGTGTTCCAATTCCCAGCTTGATAAATGTTTGATAACTGACTGACTGTCTGACTGATGGCCTGCCCGCCAGTCAGCTTGCCAGCCGACCCAAAGCTGCTCTAAAAGCCTGAGCCCTGCTAGAATGAGCCTCCCCAGGAAGAAAGGGAAAAAGGGTTGCACTGAAGGAGCTCAGGGGGCCCTTGCCCCCCGCACCACGTTACACAGTGGGAACAGGAAATTCGAGTTGGGCCCCTGTTGGGGAGGAGGACAGAGCATCATGTCTAATGTTACTATCTCCCACATCCGCTCAGTGTCTTTCCATCGCAACCACACGGTGACTGTCCGGTCCCAGGCTGAGAACCCCACATCCTCCCGCCTGGAGAACGAATACAGTCAGCCTCCCAGGAACTCCCAAATCTCAGCTTTTCCAGGTAAGCACCAGCTGGCACTCCCAGGAATGACGGCAGGGCCGAGCAGAGGGTCACTTGATCGCCTGGAGAAAGAAGGGAGGCCGAGCAGGGGGCAGAAGGATCAAACGGTCCCCCTTTGACAGCCGGTCATGGCAGGGTATGGAAGGGATACAGCCTTAACGGGCCACTCAGCTAGAGAGAATGTGCCGGGATGTCATTAACCCCAGCACTGCTGTGACCTAAAGGACCTGTTTCTCAATAAATGAGGCCCCTCGGATCCCTTGGAGGCAGAACAGAGCATCCATCAGTGGCCCGCAGAGCCTTGTATCGAATGCTCCCTGACTGGCACTGACAATTAAGCCGCAGGGAGGCTGGCATTCAGCATCATTAGAGGACACTAGCTGATTTGATCACAACAGTTTCAGGGCTATTGAGCCACCAGCTCAGAAAGCCTCTGTGATCTTCCAGCCCCTGCAGGGCTCTTGGCTCTGAAGGGCTCTCTCTGTGTAGCCTGGAGAGATAACCCTGCTCAAATGGCCTCCTTTCTTTCCACAGCTCTGGAAGGGGCCCTGCATCGTGTCTCCACCCAGCCCGATAACTCCTCTGACAGTGACTATGATCTGCACGGTGCTCAGAGGCTGTAAAAGGTGAGCCTGGCCCCCGGCAAAGCCCTGGGGATAAATAAGCACCAGCCACCTGGTTCCTCACCTCTGCTCACCCTGTCCGTCCATGACCTGGGTGGGGGGGCTGGGGGACGAGCACCTAGACTCTTATAAAGGAAAAGGGTAAAGCATCAACAATTTAGGTGACAGGAGCCGCTCTGGCCATGTGAGCAGAGGGGTCATGGGCCTTAAACTCCATCTCAGGGCTTCCCTGGTGGCGCAGTGGTTGAGAGTCCTCCTGCCGATGCAGGGGACGTGGGTTTGTGCCACGGTCCGGGAAGATCCCACATGCCGCGGAGCGGCTGGGCCCGTGAGCCATGGCCGCTGAGCCTGCGCGTCCGGAGCCTGTGCTCCGCAACGGGAGAGGCCACGACAGTGAGAGGCCCGCGTACCGCAAAAACAAAACAAAACAAAACAAAAAACTGCATCTCAGAAGACTACACAAAAGAGCCCCTAAGGGTAGGGGAAGTTTAAGAGGTACAAACTACTACGTATAAAAGAAATAAGCTAGGAGGATGTATTGTACAGCACAGGGAATATAGCCAGTATTTTATAATAACTATAAATGGAGTATAATGTATAAACATTTTGAATCACTATGTTGTACACCTGAAACTAACATAATATTGTAAATCAACTATACCTCGATTTTTTTAAAAAAGCACCCCTGAGAGTATTCTGATGGACTTACACCAGCAGGAAGGAGAAGCTGCTATCCCTGACATTGGGCTGGGGGCTTTGGGCCTGTCCCCCACCTCCCTGAACCATCTCCAGAGTATGAGGCTTCCTCCGCCGACACACTTCCTTCTCACCACACAGAACCGGGACCCGGGAACAAATATCAAGAGCCACCAGACCTTTTGTCCTGAGAATGCGCTGCAGTCACTGCTTGGAAAACAGTGTCCAGGTCCTTGCCCGGCAGGACCACGGACGTGACTTTCCAACATATCCTACTGCCCTGCAGAGGCAGGCCAGCTCAGACATCTCTCCACATCTTCACCAGCCCAGGCAAAGACCCCAACGCAGCTCAGCTGGCCCCCCTCCAGGTGTGGAAGCTGCGAAAGGGCAGAGCCCGGAAGCAAGCATCCCCCCCAAGCAGAGACACACGTGGTCCAGACCCGGGCAGCTCCCTCCCCCGTCTGTGGGACTCAGCTCTCTTCTCCAACTCTGACTCATGAGGATCCACAAGGATACTCACACCTTGGGGGTGGTGGGAGGCAAGGGCTGATTTCTCTCGTGCATTTTTAATATGTTCTTTGTAAATAATGATTTTTCTGCTTCCTGAGAACTAGAGTGCCCGGCCTTCTCAATCCAGGGTCCACCCCTGTGGATCCCTCTGGGGGTGATAGTGGGAAGGGGCACCTACCAGGGGGCGAGGGCTCTGCAGCCTCATGGTCAGAGGGTGCAACACTGACACAGGACCACCTAGCAAAGCACAGCAGCCACCAGCCAGCACGTGTGGCTGCCTGACCCAGAACCTCATCACCAGCCCTCGATCTGTGCCCCCTCTCCTCGCAGCCCCTCACTTGACCGAGAGCAGGGACCACTGGCTGTCAAGCCCAAAGGGCACCAGTGCCACCTCAAGGCCCTTCACAAAGTGGGTACCTAGTAAATCCTAGCCGATTTGGGATTTGGGTTCACACAGCTGTTAAAAGTCCAAAGCTCAAGTCTTTTCAGCCAATCAGTTAACCTTCTAACCTGAGAGTAAGAAACCAGGACTGAACATTCCTGTGGGTTAAGTAATTCCCTTAACTGAAATAGTCCCCTCGACTCCCCAGCAAGCCTAGACACATACCTAATCCTGCAGTGCCCGGGTTTCCTTAACGACAAGCCAGAGGAGGACATCTGACTCGGAACATAAGGGTCTAGTGAAGGGAGAGGACTGGCCGGGCCTCACTGGGCCCTGAGAAGACATCTCGGGGCTGGGGCCTTTCTCCACTCGATTTGGACCCATATCCACCAGGTGATATCAATGGTCCAAGCCACAGAAGCAACTCTGGAAGAGCAAAAGGAAGTTCCTAGAAAGATATGGTGGGAATGAAGGGGGGGTGCTCACAGAATCGGGGAGCTGGAGTGGCACAAGCATGCCAGAAGAGCCTGGCCAGCCCTCTGCCCCCACTGACACCCTGCAACCGACCTCTCACCCACCCCCTGCTCAGGACTCTGTCCCGAGAGAGCCCAGGGTGTGGCTCTGCCCCTGACCACGCAGGGAATCCGGAAACAGGGACACCTAGTCACCTGGGTACCAGGAGTCACCTGGCAGAGATTCCTATACTGAAGGGGCTCCTCAAAAGGGAACTGGGAGGCGGCCCTCAGGGAGGGGCAAAGGGCCCGAGGCACCAAATGTCTCTCACCAGCCCCTTTCCAGATAAAAGCTCTTTAATCTCTAGTCTGGCCACCATTCAGTGGCCTCACAGCCACCATGACCTACTTAAAAACACACCACCCCAAAAAAAGAGCTGCGTTGAGCAGAAAGTCTCTCTACAAAACTGTTTTGCAAGTAGTGGTGGGCTTGGGTGATGCATTTCCAAAAAGATGTTTGGTTAAGCAACTGAATAGGAGCTAACTCAGCCTCGGAGGCACCTTTGTCAAGTTCCAGCCTCGGTGGGCAGACACAGCCCACAGGCCGCTGGTCGGCGCCGCTCCTCTGATGAGCAACTGCCCGGTCTCCCTCAGCCGCAGAGGATGCCCTACTGTGACCTGGGCCCACCCCGGGGGCCACGTTCCAGCCTGCGGCCCCCAACCCCTCCACCCCCAGCCCAGAGCAGAGCAGAGGATACACCCTCTACCTCAGCCAGAGAGGGCAGCGCTCATCTGCCCCGGCCCACTCCCCTAAATCGTTGCCTACCTGACCCTCACGGGCAACCTGATTCTAGCACGTTCTCCGCATGTTAAGTCAAGGAAACTGGGGACCCCAAAAGGAAATTTCACTCGCAATACCAAGGACCGGGTCTAGCTTCAAGCCTGTCATGCCGCTAGGGTCTGGGTGTACCGACTGGCACTGAAAGGGCATTTCAAACTGCCTCGCCGCAGCTAAGTGTCCTTCTCACGGCGCTAGGAATCTCTGTGAGGCTCTGAACTTGACACTTAGGGTCTGTCCCCGTGCAGCCCCCACGGCAGCAAGAAGCCTACCGCGGGGGCTTCCCTGGTGGCTCAGTGGTTGAGAGTCCGCCTGCCGATGCAGGGGACACGGGCTCGTGGCCCGGTCCGGGAAGATCCCACGTGCCGCGGAGCGGCTGGGCCCGTGAGCCATGGCCGCTGAGCCTGCGCGTCCGGAGCCTGTGCTCCGCAACGGGAGGGGCCGCAGCAGTGAGAGGCCCGCGTACCGCAAAAAAAAAAAGTAGCCCACTGCGGTCTGGCAGAGGACGCCTAGTGATTTCATGTGGCGGGTGCAGGACAGGGAGGAAGGGGTGGGGAGCCCCTGGGGAGAGAGAGGCGAGAGCAGCAGGGGTGGCACGCGCTGAGTGACCAGCTAGAGCAGCTCTCCGCCGAGCTGCTTAGAAAGTGCTGCTGCCTCTCTTCGGCCCCTGGTACCCCCGACCACCACTCTGGGACCAACCCAAAGCACCGACTTGATTGTGCCCCTCGCCCAGCCCGTGAGATTTTCAGCTTCTTCCTACAAAGCCCAGGGGTCTCCCAGCTCTCCCTGGTGTCCTGCGTCCTCAGTCCCTGATACGCTTGCAAGGCAAGGTCAGAGTTCAGGAGCGGGCAAAGGGCAGTAACCCTTTGACCGGAGTCCAGGGGGATTCGCAGCACAGACTACCCAAGCTTTTCTTAGGACTGTGGCCGCTTGAAGCCTGACGATTTCTGGTACCACAGCGGCATCTCAGAGGATGCCCTGCAGCCAGATCACAGCAGGTGCAAGTCTTGTCCCCACCTCCCCAGGCTGAGTGACCCGCTGAACTACCCACCCTGCAGTCTCCTCCCCTTGTTTAAACTTGGGGGTTGAAGGGCTGCTGAGAGGATGCACATCAAAGGTTAATACAAGGTGCAGCCCCGCTGAGTATTCAACGCTGGAGATTCTCAGCATCTCTGGACATCATCCACAGGCAGCCTGCCCTCGTCACCTTGCAGGGAAGGAAACAGAATGAAAGAACAAGACGCCCTCCCAGGCCTCATGATGAGCAGCTGAGCTCAGGGGTTGCTGGAGAGGGAGGCAGGCTGGGTAAGGCAGAAAACCGCTTGGCTCCACAGCCAGTTTAGCAGCCTGCTGCCCCTCCATCCGCATTTAGAAACCGGATGCGAAGATTCGAACCCAAGCTGGGGGTTCTTCCTGGACAAGCTGACAGTCCCGGTCAGCCCAGCAGGTGGCAAGAATGGGGCCCCACCTGTGCTCCGCTGAGGCTCGCATGCCCGCTAGCGGGGCTCTGTGGCCTTGCACCGCCCAAGCTCTCCACCCAGGACAAGGCAAATGTGCAGGCTCCAGCGTGAAAATGCCTCAGATGGAAAAAAAACGGGGCAAAAGTGGAAAGGGAAATGCTGTAAGAGCCACGCCCCGGGGGGGAAGGGGCAGGGGAGGGCAGCAGCTCAAGAAACAATATTCAGAAAGATGGGGCTTTGTGAACATGAACCAAAGAGGCCTAAAGGCTACGGAAGAAATCGCAAAACAAAGAACGTTGCCCACCATCCAGTTCTACAAGGATTAAGTCAGCCAGTGCAGTCGCTGACCCACAGTGCACCCTGAAATGCAGTCAGGATGAAAAAACAAAAAGGCACTTGTGCTTTGGAAAAACAAGCTCCTGAGATAGAGATACCTCAGGAAAAAATTTTAATGAACCCAGATTCTTGCACCTTCCCATGCATACATAGAAAAGCACTAAAATCATTAACTGAGATGTCTGATCCTCGCGACTAGCAGTCATTTTTAACCAAGATGTGTGCCTGACTGCATACGTTCCCCAGCCAAAATCATATCTATGCTGGCTTCTCAGAGCTACTGAGTGGCTGTTTCCTGGGCAATAGTCCATATATAGTAAGGTCCCTCAATAAAACTGAAACCCACAGCTCTTGCACTGTGCGTTTTTCTTTCAGTTGACAGTTTGGGTGACCACAGAGGGACCCAGAGCAGACTTCTCTCCCCCTGAACTCTCCAATCATCCGGAGCCCTGGTACCAGCGAAGGCCCCTTGTGCCTGCTGCCTCCTCAGTGAGTCCAGACGACTGAGTGAGTCTCTCCTGAGTCTCAGAGCTCCCATCTCGGTTGGCAATCCTGAGTTCCATTCGGTAGTAGATAAAAAAGGTACCTGACTTCTCAGTTGAAAGATACAGAGAAAGTGCTCGGTTGAAAGACACTCAGAAAACCATCCAGTTGAAAGACACCGGGAAGGTTCTGACTGGGTGATTAGGTAGGAGGCCGGCCTGACGTCTTTCATCAAGTTGGCAACTTAACAGGGTTTGTCAGGACAAAAGCGAAGATACCAGATGAGAGCTTTCGGCTCCAAAAACGGACCCGGCTCTTACCGGCCAGTTAACGACTTTCTCAGGCAACTGAGAAATTTACGGAAGCAATAAAAGCGAATCCTCATACCGTGCAGCAGTCCCATAGGGAAACCCACTCATTAATTTTAAAAACTAGCTCATCCAGGGACCCACACATAGGGATTGGCCATCCAGGGCTCTCTCTGTGTGCCCACAGTGGTTTTAGACTGCCAAAGGGAGAAACGGAGACACACAGAAGAGCTGAAACGACTCTAGGGTGACACCTAGAGGTGCCTGATTGCACCTATTCCTTAGCCGAAATCATGTATATACTGGCTTCTCCCCCTAACTCCTTGGAGCAGTTTCTCAGAGCTACTGAGAGGTTGTTCCCCAGGCGGTAGTCTGCAGTAAGGTCTCCAAATAAAACTGAAATCCACGAGTCTTACGTTGTGCATTTTTCTTTCAGTCGACAAAATCAATGGAGCCCGCTGGCAGCCACGTCTTCACTTCTCAAATTCACTGGAACCACAACACTACTTTTAACTCATCAAAGTTTATTATGGCAATTAATTATATAATACAAACATACCAGCGATCGTTCATCCAGTTCAGAAGCACTCGAACCAATAGAGTCCCTTAGTGATTTCTCTGTATAAATTACTTATGAGAAGCAAGCACAGCTGGTCAGGGACCGACAGGGCTAATCGAGCATCTCATCGCACGCACCCACTGATGGTACGCAGGCCGGGGAGGGGGGCAGGCACCAGAAGGTCGAGTTTCCTCGTTGGCCCCCAGCACCCCAGGCCCACCAGATGCTGGGTACTTGAGTAGTGGACAATTCAAGGCACATATGACTTCCTAACAGATAGCAGCTCCAGAGTCTGCCCTTGAGACCTGGTTCACATCTGCAGCAACCAAGGTAATGCTTTATTCATCACACACCCCCCCTTTGGTCTGTTGTCATTTTTATTACTTAATGTGCTGAAAATCCCCAACGTGCTGGGGGCTGCATGTGGCTCAGAGTCACAATCCCTGCCCTATACGTTCTGAAGACGAGGGAGATGCAAAGCAACGACTCTGACGCAGTGATGGAGTTTTACAAAGCACCACGTGGGAAGAAACTGTTAGGGTATCTTTTGATGTCTCTCTCAGGAGGGCTTTTGGGGGTGGGGAAGAGTTACATCAGGCAGCCAAAGGAAGGGGATGAAGTGAGGGCTGCTGTGAATGAGACTCAAGGCACTAAGGGAGCAGATGGACGGGGTGGGCCTCAGAAGTCAACCGGAAGCAGGGGACGCCAGACAAGAGAGGTGGCCGGGGAGGTGACTCGGCCCTCCACTCCTAAATGAGCTCCTGAAGTGGCCGCAGTCTCCTGGGCCTCCTCCAGCCAGAGGGTCCGAGGCAGCCCCCGGATCCTCCAACCAGGGTGAGCAAGGGCTGGGGTCTGCCTCCACAATCCCCGGCCCACTCACTGCACTGGCTCTGCTGCTGTCATTCAAACCAGCACACAGGACAGGCTCAACTGACATCAGCCTGTCGGGAGTTCAATTATGGTTTTGCGTGACTTAAAAATCATTGTTTTTCCTAACTCTGTTCTCTCTCCCTGATCCAACCCTGCCATGGTGCATGGGGCAGGCCATCCTTGAATGGACCCAAGACACACAGAGAGCTGCATCCCTTAGCGTGGGTACCTCGGTCAAACGTGCCAAATCCCAGAGGAGAGGGAGGGGGTGAGCAGCCCACAGAGAGGACCGAATGCCCTGCCTGGTGAGAACCAGGAAAGCCAAAGCCAGTCACTGAAACCAGGCGCGCCCTTCCCCCAGGAGGCCAGCAAGCACTGGGGCCGTCTGGCACAGCCAAGCCAGTCACACTGCCCGGTGCCTTGCCAGGCCTGTGTGCTCCCAGCCAGGTCCCTCCAGGCCCCCACGCATGACACAAGTCCACGGGGAGCCCACTCCACTTCCAGTTGACCCTCGAATCTCAGCAGGGGGGTGGCCAAAGGTTGTAGTACAGGTGGAAGTAGGGAAGGGCCAAGGGCCAGGACCGCGCCTAATACCCAGGCCAGGCAGGACCCTGAGGCAGTGGAAACCCATAGGGAGGGGCAGGCCCAGGGGGATAGGGCGACTGAAGGGGGCCTGATGGCTGGGGCTGCGTGGGGTACGGAGGTTTTCCTCCTGTTGAGAGGTAGGGGGGCTGTTGAGGATAACCAGGACCGAGGACCCGGCCCCCCGCCACGGGGTACCCAGGGCCGGAGGCACCAGTGGGGGCCACGGGATAGGCCGGCCGGGGAGGCGTGCTCCTCTGTGGGGACCAGGAGTAGCCTGTGGCAGCCCTGGGTCCTGGCTGGGCTGACGGGTACGGGGGACCCACAGGCCCGCTGTAGGAAAAAGAGGGCTGGGACACCACAGGGAACGGGGCCGGCGGGAGCACCCCTTGGGCGGTGGGGCCCACGGGCAAGCCTGGAGAGGGGCTGTAGGGCAACGGGTAGGGAGGGACCTCCGGAGGCTGCTGATCTTCGGCGACAGGGGGCGTCGCCTGGGGGCCCGGGAGAGATGGGGGAGGCGGGCGGGGAGGAGGGGCGCCCCCAGCCAGCTCCAGGGAGGCCCTGGGCTTCCTCATCACATCCTGGAGCTTCTCCACGCGAACCCGGCGCAGATGGGACAGCATCCTCACAGAGGAGAAGTTCTCCAGAAACGTGTCCAAGGGCACCTCGCCCTCCAGGAACTTCTCAGCCATGGCCTGGAAGACATAAGCTCCAGTGGCAACAGGGGTCTGCCGGGATCGAGGCCACCTGAATACCCCTGGGTCAGAGGTCAGCTGCGACCCTCCCACCCCAGCCAGGCTCAGGAGCTGCCTGTCTTCTCTGGCCCGCCCCCCCGCTTTGGGAATTTCTCTCTATGGCCCTTCTCACTGCTGATGTATTATACAAGCGTGTGTTTATTTATTCTGTCTCCCTCACCAGGACATCAGCCCCCAGAGGGCGGGGACCACCTGTCATGGCCACCGCCGTCCCCACCCTGGCATCGTGCCAGGCTCACAGCAGCTGCTGCACAGTGTGTCGACTGGCCACATGGACACTGGCCCCCTGGTCACTAGCACAGCCCAGCCCAGGGGCTGTGGGACCTGGGAGCATCTTCCACCCAGAGCATGGACATGTGGAGAGAGCCAGTCTGCCCACAGAGAGTGAAGAGAGGCCCAGAGGGAAGCAGAAGAGAGAGACCCGGCAGCCCCAGGAGAGGGGAGGCGCTGGGGGCCTGGCTTCAGCCCTGGAGGGCTCCTACTGCACTGCCCTCCCACCCAGGCCTGCCAGCTGCCCCGCAGCTGTGCTGTTTATCGCCCATTTCTGCTTCAGCCAGTGATGTTGGGTTCCTGTTCTCTGCATCCAAAAGGGCCTCCACTGGGACTCCGGTGGAGGTGCCATTCACCGCTGCCGTGACTAAAGCCCTGGTCCCACGCCCTGCGGACACTGGTGCCCAGGACGAGGGCTCCTGCTGCAGGGGCAACTGTTCAGGGCAGAGGGGGCGTCAACGGCCGTCTCACCTCAGCCTCTTCTTCAGTCTTCATGCTTTCTATCTGCAGAAGGTCCAGCAAGGCCCCGAGCTGCAGTGCTGAAGAAAATTTCTCTGGAAGGAAGGGCAGAAAGGTTGACATTTCAAAAGTGCCTCTGGATTCCGTGGTGGCGGCCAAGGTTTCTGCAAGCCTCTCTGAGGGTCAAGCCACCGCCCTGGGGTCCGCGGCAGAGCCCCTTTCGGTCGGTTCCCTTCCTGAGCAGAGAGGAGCTCAGCTGAGCCCCTCCACGCCAGCCCAGGAAGCGAGAGACCTCAGGCTTCGGAGCCCACCCCCCCACCCCCCAATCCTGTCCTTCCCCTCAGGGAGTTACTTCACCTGCCTGAGCGTCAAGTCCCCCACCTTCAGGACCAGGACAGCCCCTCACCTTCACAGACAGCAGGTTGGGACACAGCGAGCCCGAACCAGCTCCACAAATCACCAGAGCAGGGCTGGCTGAGTGGCCAGCAGCAGCCCAGGATGCATGCTCTCTGGATTCAAATCCCAACTCCACCTCTACGTAGCTGTGGAGCCCTAGCCACGTTCCTGCATCTCCCTGAGCCTCACTCCTCTCATCTATGACATGAGAATGACGACAGTACCTACCCTTAGATGGCTGTTAAAGCACTTAGCCAGGGCTGGGGACATGGTGACCCACAGTAACTGCTGGCCCCTTCCTGTCCTGGGGAGGGAGAGGGAATCTGTCCTTCCACGTGACTCCAGCAGCTCCCCCAGCCCCACCAGGAATGGGGACCCTGAGTGGACAGAGGCGCCCCCAGCACACACTCCTGGGGCCGGTCGCTTACCCAGCTTTGCCTTCTGCTCCTGGCACCGCTCCACCAGCTTCCGGAGCTCCTGGTACTTGTCCGAGAGGTTCGAGCGGCTGATCTCCAGGGGACCCTGGAACTCCAGGTTCTGCTCAGCCAGGCTCCGGTTGGTGGCCAGTGCCATCTCCCGCTCCAGCTGCAGGTCCTGGACCTACAGAGCAGGACACTTGACCGTGAGACCCGCCACACCACCACTCAGCTCGCGGGGGGCTGGACCTGGGGCTTCCGGGACCCGTCACTCACCATGGGGGGAGCCAGGCAACACTCAGCCCCTAACTAGAGTCAGACGGACCCAGGTTCCAACTCTGAGCAAAGCACTCCAAACCAGACACCTCACCAAATCCTTAACCCCACAGCCTACGTGGTGGATGCATGCAAAGGGCCATGAGACGAGCGGGAGGAGACCCCCCCGGAGGCTGTGCAGAGCTCCAGGGAGGGGTCGGAGAAAGTCAGAGCCTTCCTAGGAGGGAAGGGACCAAGTCTCAACCACCTGTCCCCAGGATTCAGAGTCAAGAGACCTCCTCTGAGGTGCACTGATGTGGCCCAGACCTGACCACAGGCCAGACATGCAACGAAGCCCCCAAATAAAGTTAGTGTGAGGAGTGAGAACGCCAGGGCCAGCCCGTGACACCGACTCCAGAGGGACCTGTCCCTGCCTCCTCCACAGGTGTGTCCTACAGAGAAGCTGCTCAGATGAGCTAACACAGAGGCCCCCAAGAACCTCAGGGGAGTCCCCAGGACCAGCTGAGGACTCCCACCAGCACAGGCGACCCGTGGCCCCCGAGGCTCTGATGCCAACCTTTGCACCTGGATGTGCCCCACTGAAAGCACGCCCCCAAGCTGAGCAGCACTCTCCCCTCGTCCAGGTCCTTTGTTGTCACCAGCCGGTGAGGCGGCAGCCTCGGGAACCCTTCCCAGACCCGCTCTCACCTGAAGCCCTGTCCATTTGTCAGGGAGTCCTCTTTACTGACAGGAGGGCAGAGAGTCAGACCCACACCCCTGAGGGAACGGGGACGCCAGCAGCACCAGTGGCACCAGCACCCACAGCAGGGCTCAGGGCACAGCTTGGCAAGACCAGCTTCCACGCGGGAGCCACTGGGCAGCTTCTCCACCACGGTCGGCACATGGCGAACCAAGCCTGACTGGCTCGTCCCCAGTCAGACGCGGGAAGGCCACGGGCGTCCTGGAGGAGGGGGCTTCCGGGGGCTGCAATCCTGCCAGTCCCCAGCCACAGGGCCTCGAGCGCTGCGCTCTGTGGTGGGCCTGGAGCCTGCTCCCCCGCTCCAGACTGGAAAGAGAGATGCCACGGCTACCAGAAGTAATGGGGTCTGGCCACGGCCTCTCAGGTCTGCCCCCACTCCTGGGTTGTCTGCCTTGCTGCCACCAATACCCTCTGGAGCCACTGAGCAAGCATCCTGACTCAGGGACGCCCGCACTGCAGAGTTCCAGTCTCACTTTCATCAGCCGGGAGAGCTTTTCTTTTCTTATGTGTCTGACACAGAGCGGGGGGCCTGAAGCCCTCTGCTCAGCTGCCCCTTACGGGGCCCCAGATCCTCAGTGGACATGTCCTCTGTATACCTCCACTGCCTTTTCCCTGGATCTTAACCAGTAAATCTATGCCGTGTCATTTTCCCCTAAACCTAGTCCTACCCGTTTCTGCCCCCTTTCCCCAGAGCCTCCCCCAAATCTTTCTCCATTAGGGGTTCACTAGGAAGCCCTTGATCGGTCAATAAGACAGTTCAAGCACCCCACCAGAAGACCCCGATATTCATACTCTTCCACATGGAGAGAGGTCCCCTACTCTTTTCTCTGAGCAAAGTCCACACCCCAAACTCAAAGAGCTCCCATCTCCCCTCACAATCCCATGGCGACTCAATTACCATCTTATAGCCCGTGCTAGGAACATAGTCCAAGGGGTTTTGCAAGTCTAGGGAGCTCGCCCTCCTTCATCTTTCCCTTGTCATCAGCAAAAATGGAAACACATTCCAAAGGCCAACCAACGAGCTCGGCATTATTTGTGTCCGTGTCTCCCAAGCATCAGGGGCAGGAGGCGGGAGCGTGCAGAGCCACGGACAGGCTGGACCGTGGGCACGTCCAGCTCTGCGGCCACATCTGGTCACCTGACCTTTCCAACCTCGCAGGGGAGTCACAGGGCCAAGGCGCCGAAAAGGGCGGGGAGAGCCCTTTATAAAGTGTAAAGCTCTGCACGTTCAGAAGGGTTGTTTTATTCCCGTGAGGACCACGATTAGGAACTGAGACGGTTCGGTGTCTGTTATGATAGGGAAGGGATTAAACAGGAGATGAGCCTAATCCCAGCCCCAGAACGGCTCCTCCTGCAGACGCAGGGCCAGGCCAGGTGGTTGGGGAAAGGTGGTTACAAAACGGTACCAGTGGGCTTCCCTGGTGGCGCAGTGGTTGAGAGTCCGCCTGCCGATGCAGGGGACACGGGTTCGTGCCCCGGTCCAGGAAGATCCCACATGCCGCGGAGCGGCTGGGCCCGTGAGCCATGGCCGCTGAGCCTGCGCGTCCGGAGCCTGTGCTCCGCAACGGGAGAGGCCACAACAGTGAGAGGCCCGCGTACAGCAAAAAAAAAAAAAAAAAAAAAAAAAAAACGGTACCAGTGCTTGTAGAAACCACCTCCAAATCCAGGCTGGAGCAACAGTGTGGGGACTCCTGGGGCATGCGGGTCCCCGAAGGCACCAGGCACCAGAGTTGGCATGGGGGCTCTGGACTCCCTGGCACTGCGCCCCCGGAACTCCCAGGGGGCCCAGGAACTAGACTGAGAGCCCAGGGGCTCCTCTGCCTGGCCAGGGTGAAGGCCACAGAACAGGCAGATAAACTCGGCCCAAACCCCCAACAAGCCAGTGTCCTTAAGAAGGGTCTCAGGGCTGGGACGAATTGGGAGACTGGGACTGACGTATACACACCACTATGTATAAAATAGATAACTAGGGGCTTCCCTGGTGGTGCAGTGGTTGAGAGTCCGCCTGCCGATGCAGGGGACAGGGGTTCGTGCCCCGGCCGGGGAGGATCCCACATGCTGTGGAGCAGCTGGGCCCATGAGCCATGGCCGCTGAGCCTGCGCGTCTGGAGCCTGTGCTCCACAACGGGAGAGGCCACAATGGTGAGAGGCCCACGTACCCCCCCCCCCAAAAAAAAGACAACTAATGAGAACCTACTGTATATCACAGGGAATTCTACTCAATTCTTTGTGGTGACCTAAACGGGAAGGAAATCCAAAAAAGATGGGATATATGTCTATGTATAGCTGATTCACTTTGCTGTACAGCAGAAACTAACACAACATTGTAAAGCACTGTAAAAACTATACTCCAATAAAAATTAATAAAATTAAATTAAAAAAAGAAGGGCCTCAGTCCCATCTGCTATCCTTGGCCCCATGACAGCCCTCCTCTACCTCAGGGAAGTCTTGGGCCAGCCGCTCGATGGCCGCCGGGTCATTCTGCATCTCCTCCAGCTCCTCCAGGGTCTTGTCTTTCAGGGTCTCCATCTTTCCCTGGGAGCACAGAACGACACTGAAGTGAGGAAGGGACTGCTCAGGGGGAAGGGACCCCCAAGCCCATATTCATCATCTGTCAAAGGACCAACTGGAGTTTCCCAACGATGCCTCCAGTCCACGGGGAGGACCAAGGAGGGTCAGAGTCCGGCCCCCCGACCACCCCCGTCCCCAGGGAGACTGAGAAGCTGCTCCTCGACCCAGACCATGAACAGCAGGCTACATGGAGGCACTGGGCAGTCAGAGGCAAAACCATGATTCCTGGCGGTGCCAGATGAAGCTCCCCAAGGAGCAGACAGGAAAGGCAGGAGGAGGGAGGCTGACAGCCAGGGACAGAGACTAAACTTGGCCCAAGGCCGCCTGTGAGCCCTGATGGCAGCACACACTCTGGGAGGTGTCCATTTCTGCCTGAACCCTAAATACACCCACCCTCCACATGGGGGCCTTGCTGGCTTTAACGTCACAGGCTCAGAAGCCTCCCTGCCGGTTATGTTTAGCGCACACCAACCACCTTGGGTTTCCCTCAAGCATTCTCTGCAACAGCCATCCACGCCACGTGCCACAAAAACAGACTGTCAGGACTTCCCTGGTGGTGCAGTGGTTGAGAGTCCGCCTGCCAACGCAGGGGACACGGGTTCAAACCCTGGTCCGGGAAGATCCCACGTGCCGCGGAGCAACTAAGCCCGTGCGCCACAACTACTGAGCCTGCGCTCTAGAGCCCGTGCTCCGCGACAAGAGAAGCCACCGCAATGAGAAGCCCACGGACCGCAACAAAGAGTAGCCCCCGCTCGCCACAACTAGAGAAAGGCCCGCGTGCAGTGATGAAGACCCGATGCAGCCAAAAATAAATAAATTATTTTTAAAAAAACGGACTGTCACATGTGTCCCCCCCCCCCCAAAAAAAAGACAACTAATGAGAACCTACTGTATATCACAGGGAATTCTACTCAATTCTTTGTGGTGACCTAAACGGGAAGGAAATCCAAAAAAGATGGGATATATGTCTATGTATAGCTGATTCACTTTGCTGTACAGCAGAAACTAACACAACATTGTAAAGCACTGTAAAAACTATACTCCAATAAAAATTAATAAAATTAAATTAAAAAAAGAAGGGCCTCAGTCCCATCTGCTATCCTTGGCCCCATGACAGCCCTCCTCTACCTCAGGGAAGTCTTGGGCCAGCCGCTCGATGGCCGCCGGGTCATTCTGCATCTCCTCCAGCTCCTCCAGGGTCTTGTCTTTCAGGGTCTCCATCTTTCCCTGGGAGCACAGAACGACACTGAAGTGAGGAAGGGACTGCTCAGGGGGAAGGGACCCCCAAGCCCATATTCATCATCTGTCAAAGGACCAACTGGAGTTTCCCAACGATGCCTCCAGTCCACGGGGAGGACCAAGGAGGGTCAGAGTCCGGCCCCCCGACCACCCCCGTCCCCAGGGAGACTGAGAAGCTGCTCCTCGACCCAGACCATGAACAGCAGGCTACATGGAGGCACTGGGCAGTCAGAGGCAAAACCATGATTCCTGGCGGTGCCAGATGAAGCTCCCCAAGGAGCAGACAGGAAAGGCAGGAGGAGGGAGGCTGACAGCCAGGGACAGAGACTAAACTTGGCCCAAGGCCGCCTGTGAGCCCTGATGGCAGCACACACTCTGGGAGGTGTCCATTTCTGCCTGAACCCTAAATACACCCACCCTCCACATGGGGGCCTTGCTGGCTTTAACGTCACAGGCTCAGAAGCCTCCCTGCCGGTTATGTTTAGCGCACACCAACCACCTTGGGTTTCCCTCAAGCATTCTCTGCAACAGCCATCCACGCCACGTGCCACAAAAACAGACTGTCAGGACTTCCCTGGTGGTGCAGTGGTTGAGAGTCCGCCTGCCAACGCAGGGGACACGGGTTCAAACCCTGGTCCGGGAAGATCCCACGTGCCGCGGAGCAACTAAGCCCGTGCGCCACAACTACTGAGCCTGCGCTCTAGAGCCCGTGCTCCGCGACAAGAGAAGCCACCGCAATGAGAAGCCCACGGACCGCAACAAAGAGTAGCCCCCGCTCGCCACAACTAGAGAAAGGCCCGCGTGCAGTGATGAAGACCCGATGCAGCCAAAAATAAATAAATTATTTTTAAAAAAACGGACTGTCACATGTGTGCCCTCGTCAGAGAAGGACAAAAAAATCACCACCAAGTTGGCCCTACAGCCACCAGAAGGAAAAGAAATCGACCGACCTGAATGGGATGCCTGCTTTGACAGAAGACCTGGTTTCAGCGGTCCTCTCCCTGTCGCTCTGCCCAGAGGAACATCGACTGATGCCTGTGTGACACAGGGGACACAAGCAGGCCCCAGGATGGAGCCCCAGCGAGAAGAGGAAGCACCAGGACTCGTTTCCCTTCTGCTGACAGGATCCTCTCCTTTCATCTGTTTTTAGCTTTTCTAGATGTGCGTCTTACAGTCCTCATTTCTCATCACAGAGGCTCTGCCAATCTTCCGAAGATGCCAACACTACAGATACCCAGAGCCCCCACCCCTGGCGCCAGGGCTCAGCAGGAGTGACGACTGGGCCGAGCGGCCACCATGGAATCGAGGCCCAGGGTTATGGCTGTGCAGCCAGAGGTGAGCTCCAGGCCTGCTTCCTCGTCTGGACTAGCAAGGGAAGGCATCTCCCAGGGCAGCAGAAAGATGAAGGAGAAACCAATAAACAGAGACCACACGACCCCATTGGTCAGGAAGGCCCGGGTTTACCCCTCATGTCCCGGTGTAGCTATAAAAGGTGCCCCTTTTCAACACTCAAAAGTGTCCCAGGACTTCCCTGGTGGTCCAGTGGTTAAGACTCCTCGCTTCCACTGCTGGGGGTGTGAGTTCAATCCCTGGTTGGGGAACTAAGATCCCACCTACCACACGGCATGGCCAAAAATAAATAAATAAAAAGTGTCCCGGTTTAGACAACAAATTCCATGGTCACCCTACTGATAAAGAGCTATCCAAACAGGGTCACCCCCACTTTCTGTTACCTACTGAGGGTTGAATGTCACCCCCCAACCTCCAAGACAAGGAATGCCAAGCTTCGATGGGCACCTAAACCTGGGGGGACACTTGCTGAGAATGCAGGTGCCCCAGCCCCACCCTCAGAGCCCTGTGTCGTAGGCCAGAGTCGGGCCCAGAAATCCAGAAGCTCTCCCAGAGATGCTGATGCAGCTGATCCGGGGCCAGATTCTGAGAAAGACGACAGCTCGTTGCTAGTCATGTGAAACCAGTCAGAGGCCACTGGTTACTGAGCATCGCAGCATTGAGTTTTACACGCGCTATCTCTCCTACTCCTGCGAGGGGGCAGCACCGTCCCACTGGCAGGTGGGGATCAGAAAGGTTACAAATGGAAGTTAAAATTCTGCACTCTGTCTACACCTCACTCTGATGCTCCCAAAACCCTGGGCTAAAGGTTGGGTCAGAGGCACAGCAGGCCACAGGGGCCTGGGGAAGGAGCAGAAATGGGGAGGCCCACCCTATTACACTGCAAACCCAGTGAGTCCACCATGAGTTGGACACACAGGAGGAACGGAGAAACATTCTGAAGATCTGGAACATCAGGGGCCTGGACTCGATCAGACTCACCTCATCTGAGTCCTGGACCCTGCCACTTGCCATTGTGGGGCCCTGCACAGTGGACCCACCCTGAGCCTCAGCCTCCTCATCTGTAAAATGGGTTCGTGCCACGGTCGACACAGGCAAAGCTCTGGCCAACGTGAGGCCTGGCCTAGAACAAATGCTGGCAAAAGGCTCCAACACCACAGAAGTCACTGATTTGTTACTGAGGCCTCCAACACAGCCCAAACTTGCCGGGCCTCAACAGCACCCATCTTGGCTCCACCCAGAGCGGGATCTGCCACAGAAGGGTGTCTGCTCCTTCCCACAGTCAGGGCTGAGCACAGAGACACCCCTGGACTGAGGATGGAAGCTCCAGGGTGGGCAGCTGGCTGGCCGCACACAAACGGCACCCTTGACAGTGCCATCCACGAGGGCCCTGGAAGGTCCAGACGTGCCTACCACACACCCAGTGGGAGAGCCCCACGTAGAGCCGCAGTTCCCCAGGACGGGCCCCAACTCTCCCCAACCATTTACCACATCCATGCTCGATGAGACCACCTTTAAGGCAGCGTAGCCTCAAGAGCCAATGGCATACCTTCTGGTCTCAGGACACCTGTCACTCCTCACATTACTGAGGACCCCAAAGAGTTTTCATTTCTGTGGATTTTAGCTATTGATATATGTATCAAAATTAAAAGTGAGAGATTTTTAAAACACAATATGAAAGCACACACACTAGCCATCAGAAGGATGTCGTGTCGTGAACCCTCTGAAAACTACCCTGTGTACTCATTTGAGAAAGACAGTAAAAAGGAAAATAACGTCTTAGGTTGTAGAAACTGTTCTGACCTCATAAGTGGCCAGACAGGGTCTCAGAGATACCCCCCCCAGGGCTCCCTGGAACACACTTTGAGAACCACTGGCCTAGACGTTAGGAGAATGGACTCTGGAGCCAGACTGCCTGGATTTGACGCCTGGTTCTGCCACTTATTAGGTGTGTTATTTAATCTACTTGTGCCTCAGTTTCTCCACCTGTAAAACGGCAGTACCTGGAACGTAGTTAGCACTATGTACGTCTTTGCTGTTACCAGGACCCTCAAACGCACGTTACACAGTGAGTCCCGCTATTATCCAACCTCACAGACGAGGTTCTGAGAGGTGCCCAAGGTCACCAGGCCAGGAAGTGGCAGTGCCTTAACGAGTCCAGGAGGCTTCTCACCTTCCTTCCTTCCTTCCTTTCTTTCCAGTTTTATTGAGATATAACTGACACACAGCACTGCATAAGTTTAAGGTGTACAGCATAATGATTTGACTTACATACATCATGAAATGATGACCATCCATCACCTCCTACAGATATAAAATTTTAAAAATAGGAAAAAAATTTTTGTGTGTGATGAGAACTCTTAGGATTTTCTCTC